ACTAGTGGACTTGGTGCGACGAGTTGGAAATGGGCCATTGTTAATGTAAACAGGAGACGTCGAGTAATGTTCGTGCCGAGCTTATTAGATTAATTTTGTACTTTTGTTGAGGAGTACGACGTTTTAAATGCGGTTCGTGTCGGATTTAATTCGACAGTTCAAGGTTAATGGCGAGCGCACGCGGTCGCTGTGACGTCATTTCGTCCAGGCGCGCTTTTCCTTCCACTCTATCTTTCGCAAACAGTTTTGAGTTAAAATTAAGCAATTGGGGTTAGATAAACAATCGGAATATTGCAGATGTTCCGTAAATAATTGTACTGATTTAGAAAACAGCACGATTAATTTGTATACATGGCTCACGTTTATTTATTTTCATAGCACGTTTTGGCCATTTATTTTGGTACCTATTTACCATTGTCTGCACTGGGAGAAGTCTGGTCCCTCCCTGAAATTACATTAAATTTAACCTCGAAAACACACCCTTCTCATGCATAATCTCCATTTTAATTTTAACATCATAAAATCTGGATGTTGGTGTCTGGATTTTTAATGGCAGAGAACATAGAGAAGCGTCATAGTTTAAATTAAATGACAGTTGAGGACTCCTCGATTTATGTTAGGAACAGTGTTTGTTTCTAACTAGGAATAAAATTAACTACAATTGAGAAAATGTCATCATAATTTCTTGCTGTTCGAATTCTCAGTTTTTCGAAATTTTAGTTTGGGGACTTTTCAGTTTGCTCCTACTTATATTCAATTTCTCAATTTTACAATTTCTCGATTTTCAGTTTTTCTCTTCAATTTTACGATTTTTAAATATTTCAATTTTTCAATTTTTGACTTTTCTAAATTCTCTATTTTTCGATTTTTCAATTAATCGATGTTTTGATTTTCCCATTTCTTGACTTTCGAGGGTTTCGATATTCCTGTTCAATTCTTTAATTTTTCGATTTTTCATTTTTTAGTTTTTTTAAGGTTTCGATTTTTCGACTTCACTTTTTGGATTTTTCGATTTCTCAATTTTTCAATTTTTTAATTTCTCAGTTTCTGGACATTTCAGTTTTGGGATTTTTCATTTTACTTATTATTCAGTTTTTGGATCTTACGATTTTGCAATTTTTCGATGTTTTGATTTTCCGATTTCTTGACTTAATTTTTTACTTTTCGGATTTTCGGTTTATTGATTTTCCAGTTTTTGATGCTTCGATTTTTCAGTTGTCCGATTTTTCAATTTTTCGATGTTTGAAATTTTGGAGTTTTCAGTTTCTCGATTTTTCGTTTTTTAAATTTATCATTTTTTCGATTTTTTGATGTTTCTATTTTTATAAACTCTCAGTTTTTCGATTTTTCATTACTTCAATTCTTCAATTTTTTAATTTCTCAGTTTTTGGATGCATATTTCAGTTTGGAGATTTTTCCATTTTTCCATTCTTCAGTATTTTTTTCCATTTTTCAATTTTCCGAAATTTCAGTTTTTAATTTTTCGAATTCTCAATTTTCCGATGTTTCAGTTTTACGTTTTTTTATTATTTTTTTTCTTCAATTTTACGATTTTTAAATATTTCAATTTTTCAATTTTTGACTTTTCTAAATTCTTAATTTTTCGATTTTTCAATTAATCGATGTTTTGATTTTCCCATTTCTTGACTTTCGAGGGTTTCGATATTCCTGTTCTTCAATTCTTTAATTTTTCGATTTTTCATTTTTTAGTTATTTAAGGTTTCGATTTTTCGACTTCACTTTTTGGATTTTTCGATTGCTCACTTTTTCGACTTTTTAGGTTCTCAGTTTTCAGATTTTGCAGGTTTTCCATTTTTCAGTTTTTCTTTCATTTTTCAGTCTTTGGATATCCCAGTTTTGGGATTTTTCAATATTTCGATTTTTCGACTTTTCGGTTTTTGACTCCTGGATTTTTCGATGTGTTGATTACTTTAATTTTTCGATTTCTCGATTTTTCATTTCAGTTCTTCGATATTTCAGTTTTTTAAGTTTTCGTATTTTTCAAATGTATTGATTTCTTAATCAATCGATTTTTCGACTTCCCGGTTTTAGATTTTCCGTTTTTCAATTGTCGTTGTTTAAAATTTTCTATTTTTCAATTTTTCAAAATTGACATTTAAACTGTCAATTTTTGACTTTTCTAAATTCTCATGTTTTCGATTTTTCAGTTAATCGATGTTTTGATTTTCCCATTTCTTGACTTAATTTTTTACTTTTCGGATTTTCGGTTTATTGATTTTCCAGTTTTTGATGCTTCGATTTTTCGGTTGTCCGATTTTTCAGTTTTTGATGTCTGAAATTTTGGAGGTTTCAGTTTCCCGATTTTTCGTTTTTCGGTTTTTAAATTTTTCATTTTTTCGATTTTTTGATATTTCAATTTTTATAAACTCTCAGTTTTTCGATTTTTTATTCCTTCAATTCTTCAATTTTTCAATTTTCTAGGATTTTGATTTCTCAATTTTTCCATTTTTTAATTTCTCAGTTTTTGGATGCATATTTCAGTGTAGAGATTTTTCCATTTTTCCATTCTTCAGTTTTTTTTTTCGTTTTTCAAATTTCCGAAATTTCAGTTTGTAATTTTTCGAATTCTCAATTTTCCGATGTTTCCGTTTTACGTTTTTTTACTTTTTTTTCTTCAATTTTACGATTTTTAAATATTTCAATTTTTCAATTTTTGACTTTTCTAAATTCTCAATTTTTCGATTTTTCAATTAATCGATGTTTTTATTTTCCCATTTAAGGTTTCGATTTCTCGACTTCACTTTTTGGATTTTTCGCTTGCTCAATTCTTCAGTTTTTCTTTCATTTTTCAGTTTTGGGATTTTTCAATATTTCGATTCTTCGACTTTTCGATTTTTGACTCCTGGATTTTTCGATGTGTCGATTTTTTTACTTTTTCGATTTTTCAATTTTTCGATTTTTAAATTTTAGATTTTCTAATTTTTAAAATTTTAGATTTTTCGATTTCTCGATTTTTCATTTCAGTTCTTCAATATTTCAATTTTTCTAGTTTTCGAATTTTTCAAATGTTTCGATGTCTTAATCTTTTGATTTTTCGACTTCCCCGGTTTTAGATTTTCTGTTTTTCAATTGTCATTTTGTCAAATTTTCGATTTTTTAATTTTTCAAATTTGACTTTTATAAACTCTCAATTTTTCGATTTTTCAAATAATCGATGTTTTGATTTTCTCGTTTCTTGACCTTCGAGTGTTTCCATTTTCTTGTTCTTCACTTAAATTTTTTGATTTTTCAATTTTTCGATTTTCTAGGATTTTGATTTCTCAATTTTTCCATTTTTTAATTTCTCAGTTTTTGGATGCATATTTCAGTTTACAGATTTTTCCGTTTTTCCTTTCTTCAGTTTTTGTTTTCATTTTTCAAATTTCCCAAATTTCAGTTTTTTTATTTTTTTTTTCTCATCAATTTTGCGATTTTTAAATATTTAAATTTTTCAATTTTTGACTTTTCTAAATTCTCAATTTTTCCATTTTTCAATTAATCGATGTTTTGATTTTTCCACTGAAGGTTTCGATTTTTCGACTTCACATTTTGGATTTTTCGATTGCTCAATTTTTCAGTTTTTCTTTCATTTTTCAGTTCAGTTTTCGACTTCCTGGTTTTAGATGTTCTTTTTTCGATTTGTTAATTTTTCATTCCCGATTTATCGAGATTTGGTTGTTCAGGTTTTCGATTTATCAGTTTTTCAATTTTTTATTTTGGCCTATTTCGGTTTCTCAATTGTTCGACTTTTCAACTCCACCATTTCTTGATCTTTTGATTTTTAGATTTCTTGGTTTTTCGATGTTACGATTTTTCAGTTAGCCGATTTTGTAAATTTGGGAGTTTAGATTTCTCAATTTTTCGTTATTCGGTTTTTAAATTTTAGATTTTTGAATTTTACATTTTTTTTTTCGATTATTTTAATTTTTCATTTTTTTTCTCACTGCTAATATCATACAGTGTATCGAAAACAACCACAAAAATTATCACTAAAAACATTTAAAAATTCATACAAAATAGAACAGTGTTTCCAAAACATTTTCCCGAAAAAAATCCATTGGGTTATTACGATTTCAACAATATTTTTAGTTTAAGACGTTTTACTAGTATAAAACACAAATAAAAAATTAATTCTTAGTTAAACAAAATTGTAAAATCATCTAAATATGTACCAAAAATATTCACTTAGTCGTTATAAAAACCATCCAAACAACTATTTCCCGCAGAAATTATAGTCCAAACCAACCAAATCGCATCTGAACGCTTAGAGTCGACATTGGCTTGAGCGCGCTGTGGTCTGTAGATCAAACAAGTTCTCAGGCGACGACTTGTAGTGAAACAAGTTTTTTTATTGGTTGAGGACTCCAAATATCAATAAGGGTGTTTTTGCAAAATCAGCCTGTATGTCGCATCCATATTAATCTATGGTAATGGGTTCTTTTGACTCCGCTACAAAGAACACGTGTTAGCGTCAATTTCGCACTCAAATCCGCTACATGTCGAAGCCGTTATTACATTTGTAGTCTATTTAGAGAAGGAAATTATAGGTCGTCTACGTCGGGCTATTCTTACAATGCGGCAAAAGCGAAGACCACGATAGGGCGAACGAAATTTTCACGTGACCAAAATAATACTAAACTTGCGAATTAGAATTTCTCGTCTCCGAAGAATCCTCTGTTTCGAAATATCGCTTCACGTTCGTGTTAAACTTACAGTTAAATGATCTTTCGTGGTCGAAGAAGCCTCGGCTGGGAGATGATTCGCACAAAGGAAGTTTTTATACTAAAACCTAAAACGAACTCGGCGTCATGACACACTTATCTGTGATACAAAGAAACGAAACGTTGTGAAAATGGGGCAGCATCCTTCGAAGGATAAACTTGTACGTTCATCATCCGAAAGGATAAACAATCGGGAGCGATTCGGTAGTTTCGGGAAAAAAGGTGGGTCCAGGATTGGTGGGGCGCGTTTTCGGGGATTCATCTTCCGGTTTGTTGCAGGGTCGTCGAAGAAGCGGGAAGTGGTGCAAGTTACTCAGGTTTTGACGGCGTCGAAGTTGTCGCCGAGGCCTGCACAGCAAAATGCGACGGATAGTGAGTATATTTTTGATTAGTTGATTGAAATAACGAGCAGTTGATGAAGTTTGTTTGTAAACATAGAACATTACGAGGTGGATTACCTATCAATTTATTTTTATCTAGTGTAAGCATGAGTGATGGTTGGAAATAGGCCAATTAGTCATTTTTATCTCACGATCGACGGTTATTTGCATTGTGCAGACGACATTCTTAGCTTTGCTCGTATATCACTTTGTCAGTTGATGGTGCTAAACAGGTTCCGCTGTAAAAGTTTAACGTACAGGTGGAAGTCACCTGACGACACAGCTGTATTTTGTTCCACCTAGCGGAATCTTCAGCTGTGAGGTTTTAAATAACCGGTAACAGGAAATAACTTAGCATTTCATGGCAGCTGGTGTTACCTCAGGTTTGTTACTATACACAGGTGTAAGTTTGGTTGCATATACGCGAGTTGTGGCGCGTGATGTTGGTTGCATACATCACCGATTATTTCGTGTTTTTTAATGACGTGGTGACGGTCAAAGATTTCCTCGTTTGTTTCTCATTTATTTCCTCGTTATTTCCCTTCCTCGAATCGTTGCAGTTTTCAGTTGACTATTTTGGTTGCCTTTTTTTTTTCTTTAGTTTAGTTCTTTCTGTTGACTCTCAAATGTCCACCGTCGTTGACAAAATGACGTCACAAAATCTTTATATTTTGTTGTATTTTTAAAATTTTTCGTCCTCTAAGTACAATTTTGTGACTTTTCACTTGCTTCGAGCCAAGTATCTAACCACCTAAGATGGAGTTATTTTGACGAATGTCTGATTTCACGTTTTTTTAACTTTCGCAGCTCATAGAATACGAAAATATGGACTTCCCGTTTTCGTCTATCTCGCTGTGACAATTTACTAGAAGCTTCAAACCTGCTAAATCGATCACTTTGACTACTCAAGACCTTGTTGATGGTATTGTCTAAAGAAAATTATTACACAAATTGTTACTGATAAATTTGTGAGATGCATGGGATGTTGGGAACAAATTAAGTAAATATATTGTTATGTGGTGTTATGAACTAAACAGAAACGCTTCAAGTCTAAAGTAAAATATTTTTGACTCGATTTATAATTTTATTTCGATTTTATTTTGCCGTTTAATTGTAGATTATAAAATTTATACAAATTTTTGAATTTTTCATGAAATTGGGTGGTCGTTCGAGCCGGGTTTTAACCGAAATATGTTGCATTTTATTTTAATTTTTACTTAACGAGAGTAAAAATTATTTTAAAGAATTTGAAAAGCGTGATCCCTCTCCGTATTTTCTACAAAGTTTGAGAGGATCTTGGACCCTCCTACGTCTTTTTGTAAATGATATGGAAAGCTCAGGGGGGGCTGGTGTTTTATTTTTGAAAGAATCTTGCTGACGACTCGTGTTTTTTTTTGTTTTTGGAAAAGTTTGAAAGACTTTGGGGACCGTTGATTTTTCATCTTTGAAAGAATTTGTAAGAATTTTGAGGGCACCTAATGTGTTTTTTTTATGTGAAAAAACCTTGCCCCAGGTGTTTTATTTTTGAAACAATCTCGGGAACGCCTGGTGGTTTTTTGTTTTTGAAAGAATTTGAAAAAATCTTGGGTTTTTTTTTTTGTAAGAATTTGAAAAAATCTCGTGGATGCCTGGTGGGTTTTTTAAAGAGTTTGAAAGACTTTTGGAGATCGTTGGTGTTTCATGTTTGAAAGAATTTGTAAGAATCTTGAGGATACCTGATGTATTTTTTATGTGAGGGCCCAGGTGTTTTATTTTTGAAAAATCTTGGAGACCCTTGGTGTTTTTTTTTTATTTTTGAAAGACTTTTGGGGACCGTTGGTGTTTCGTCTTTGAACGGATTTGTAAAAATCTTGGGGGCACCTGATGTGTTTTTTTATGTGAAAAAGCCTTGGGGCCCCAGGTGTTATTTTTTGTTTTGGAAAGAGTTTGAAAGATTTTTCGGGACCGTTGGTGTTTCATTTTTGAAAGATGAAAAGATCTTGGGAATTTGTCTTTTTCTAAAAATTAAAAAAAAAATGTGGACATCTGCTGTTTTTTTTTTTTTGAAAGAGTTTGGAACACTTGGGGGCTGTTGGTGTTTCATTGTAAATAATTTGTAAGAATCTTGAGGGTACCTGGTGTTTTTTTTACATGAGGGCCCAAGTGTTTTATTTTTGAAAGAATCTCTGGGACCGTTGGTATTTCATTTTTGAAAGAATTTGAAAAGGTCTTGGGTGTTTATGTGTTTTTTCTAAGATTTGAAAAAATCTCGGAGACGACTGTTTTTTTTTTGTTTTTGAAAGAGTTTGAAAGACTTGGCGACCGTTGGTGTTTCATTTTTGAAAGAATTTGGAAAAATCTCATGGACGTCTGATGGGTTTTTTTTGAAGAGTTTAAAAGTCTTGGGGTTCGTTGGTGTTTCATCTTTGAAAGAACTTGTAACAATCTTGAGGGTACCTGATGTGTTTTTGGTTTTTGAAAGACCTTAAAAAAATCTTGGGGGGCATTGGTGCTTCATTTTTTAAAGAATTTGAAAAGATCTTGGCTGTTTATGTGTTTTTTCTAATATTTGAAAAAATCTCGGGGACGCCTGGTGTATTTTTATTTTTTTTTTTAATAAGAGTTTGAAAGACTTCTGGGGACCACCAAACATGTTTCATCTTTGAAAGAATTTGTAAGATTCTTGTGGGTACCTGATGTGTTTTCTTTTATGTGAGGGCCCAAGTGTTTTATTTTTGAAAGAATCTCTGGGGCCGTTGGTATTTCATTTTTGAAAGAATTTGAAAAGATCTTGGGTGTTTATGTGTTTTTTCTAAGATTTGAAAAAATCTCGGAGACGACTGGGGTTTTTTTTTTGTTTTTGAAAGAGTTTGAAAGACTTTTGGCGACCGTTGGTGTTTCATTTTTTAAAGAATTTGGAAAAATCTCATGGACGGCTGGTGGGTTTTTTTTTTTTTTTGAAGAGTTTAAAAGTCTTGGGGTTCGTTGGTGTTTCATCTTTGAAAGAACTTACCTTAAAAAAATCTTGGGGGGCATTGGTGTTTCATTTTTTAAAGAATTTGAAAAGATCTTGGCTGTTTATGCGTTTTTTCTAATATTTGAAAAAATCTCGGGGACGCCTGGTGATTTTTTTTTTTTAATAAGAGTTTGAAAGACTTCTGGGGACCACTAAACATGTTTCATCTTTGAACGAATTTGTAAGATTCTTGTGGGTACCTGATGTGTTTTCTTTTATGTGAGGCCCCAAGTGTTTTATTTTTGAAAGAATCTCTGGGGCCGTTGGTATTTCATTTTTGAAAGAATTTGAAAAGATCTTGGTTGTTTATGTGTTTTTTCTAAGATTTGAAAAAATCTCGCAGACGACTGGGTTTTTTTTTTGTTTTTGAAAGAGTTTGAAAGACTTTTGGCGACCGTTGGTGTTTCATTTTTGAAAGAATTTGGAAAAATCTCATGGACGTCTGGTGGGTTTTTTTGAAGAGTTTAAAAGTCTTGGGGTTCGTTGGTGTTTCATCTTTGAAAGAACTTGTAACAATTTTGAGGATACCTGATGTGTTTTTGGTTTTTGAAAGACCTTAAAAAAATCTTGGGGGGCATTGGTGTTTCATTTTTTAAAGAATTTGAAAAGATCTTGGCTGTTTATGTGTTTTTTCTAATATTTGAAAAAATCTCGGGGACGCCTGGTGTATTTTTTTTTTTTTTTTAATAAGAGTTTGAAAGACTTCTGGGGACCACCAAACATGTTTCATCTTTGAAAGAATTTGTAAGATTCTTGTGGGTACCTGATGTGTTTTCTTTTATGTGAGGGCCCAAGTGTTTTATTTTTGAAAGAATCTCTGGGGCCGTTGGTATTTCATTTTTGAAAGAATTTGAAAAGATCTTGGGTGTTTATGTGTTTTTTCTAAGATTTGAAAAAATCTCGGAGACGACTGGGTTTTTTTTTTTTGTTTTTGAAAGAGTTTGAAAGACTTTTGGCGACCGTTGGTGTTTCATTTTTTAAAGAATTTGGAAAAATCTCATGGACGGCTGGTGGGTTTTTTTTTTTTTTGAAGAGTTTAAAAGTCTTGGGGTTCGTTGGTGTTTCATCTTTGAAAGAACTTACCTTAAAAAAATCTTGGGGGGCATTGGTGTTTCATTTTTTAAAGAATTTGAAAAAATCTTGGCTGTTTATGTGTTTTTTCTAATATTTGAAAAAATCTCGGGGACGCCTGGTGTATTTTTTTTTTTTTAATAAGAGTTTGAAAGACTTCTGGGGACCACCAAACATGTTTCATCTTTGAAAGAATTTGTAAGATTCTTGTGGGTACCTGATGTGTTTTCTTTTATGTGAGGGCCCAAGTGTTTTATTTTTGAAAGAATCTCGGGGGCCGTTGGTGTTTCATTTTTGAAAGAATTTGAAAAGATCTTGGGTGTTTCTGTGTTTTTTCTAAAATTTGAAAAAAATCTCGGAGACGACTGGGTTTTTTTTTGTTTTTGAAAGAGTTTGAAAGACTTTTGGCGACCGTTGGTGTTTCACTTTTGAAAGAATTTGGAAAAATCTCACGGACGTCTGGTGGGTTTTTTTTTGAAGAGTTTAAAAGTCTTGGGGATCATTGGTGTTTCATCTTTGAAAGAACTTGTAAGAATCTTGAGGGTACCTGATGTGTTTTTGGTTTTTGAAAGACCTTAAAAAAATCTTGGGGGGCATTGGTGTTTCATTTTTTAAAGAATTTGAAAAAATCTTGGCTGTTTGTGTTTTTTCTAATATTTGAAAAAATCTCGGGGACGCCTGATTTATTTTTTTTTTATATAAGAGTTTGAAATACTTCTGGGGACCACCAAACATGTTTCATCTTTGAAAGAATTTGTAAGATTCTTGTGAGTACCTGATGTGTTTTTTTATGTGAGGGCCCAAGTGTTTTATTTTTGAAAGAATCTCTGGGGCCGTTGGTATTTTATTTTTGAAAGAATTTGAAAAGATCTTGGGTGTTTATGTGTTTTTTCTAAGATTTGAAAACATCTCGGAGACGATTGGGTTTTTTTTTTGTTTTTGAAAGAGTTTGAAAAACTTTTGGCGACCGTTGGTGTTTCATTTTTGAAAGAATTTGGAAAAATCTCATGGACGTCTGGTGGGTTTTTTTTTTTGAAGAGTTTAAAAGTCTTGGAGATCATTGGTGTTTCATCTTTGGAAGAATTTGTAAGAATCTTGAGGGTACCTGATGTGTTTTTGGTTTTTGAAAGACCTTAAAAAAATCTTGGGGGGCATTGGTGTTTCATTTTTGAAAGAATTTGAAAAGATCTTGGCTGTTTATGTGTTTTTTCTAATATTTGAAAAAATCTCGGGGACGCCTGATGTATTTTTTTTTATAAGAGTTTGAAATACTTCTGGGGACCACCAAACATGTTTCATCTTTGAAAGAATTTCTAAGATTCTTGTGAGTACCTGATGTGTTTTCTTTAATGTGAGGGCCCAAGTGTTTTATTTTTGAAAGAATCTCGGGGGCCGTTGGTATTTCATTTTTGAAAGAATTTGAAAAGATTTTGGGTGTTTATGTGTTTTTTCTAAGATTTGGAAAAATCTCGGAGACGACTGGTTTTTTTTTTTTGTTTTTGAAAGAGTTTGAAAGACTTTTGGCGACCGTTGGTGTTTCATTTTTGAAAGAATTTGGAAAAATCTCATGGACGTCTGGTGGGTTTTTTTTTTTGAAGAGTTTAAAAGTCTTGGGGATCATTGGTGTTTCATCTTTGGAAGAATTTGTAAGAATCTTGAGGGTACCTGATGTGTTTTTGGTTTTTGAAAGACCTTAAAAAATCTTGGGGGGCATTGGTGTTTCATTTTTTAAAGAATTTGAAAAAATCTTGACAGTTTATGTGTTTTTTCTAATATTTGAAAAAATCTCGGGGACGCCTGGTGTTTTTTTTTCTTTTTGTAAGAGTTTGAAAGACTTCTGGGGACCACCAAACATGTGTTTTCTTTTATGTGAGGGCCCAAGTGTTTTATTTTTGAAAGAATCTCGGGAGCCGTTGGTGTTTCATTTTTGAAAGAGTTTGAAAAGATTTTGGGTGTTTATGTGTTTTTTCTAAGATTTGAAACAATCTCGGAGTCACCTGGTGTTTTTTTTGTTTTGTTTTTGAAAAAGTTTGATAGACTTTGGGGACCGTTGATGTTTCTTCTTTGAAAGGATTAAATGAGAATCTTGAGGGACCTGATGTGTTTTTTGATGTGAAAGAACCTTGGGGCCCCAGGTGTTTTATTTTTGAAACAATCTCGGGAACGCCTGGTGGTTTTTGTTTTTGAAAGAATTTGAAAAAATCTTGGGTATGTTTTTTTAGAATTTGAAAAAATCTCGTGGATGCCTGGTGAGTTTTTTTAAAGAGTTTGAAAGACTTTTGGGGACCGTTGGTGTTTCATGTTCGAAAGAATTTGAAAATCTTGGATATTTGTTTTTTCTTTCTAAGAATTTGAAAAAATCTCATGGACGCCTGGTGTATTTTTTTTTAAAGTGTTTAAAAGACTTTTGGGAATCCTTAGTGTTTCATCTTTGAAAGAATTTGTAAGAATCTTGAGGGTACGTGATGTATTTTTTTATGTGATGGCCCAGGTGTTTTATTTTTGAAAGAATCTCGAGGGCGCCTGGTGTGTTTTTTTTTTGTTTTTTGAATGACTTTAAAAGAATCTTGGGGGGCGTTGGTGTTTCATTTTTGAAAAAATTTGAAGATTTGAAACAATCTCGGAGTCGCCTGGTGTTTTTCTTTTGTTTTGTTTTTGAAAAAGTTTGATAAACTTTGGGGACCGTTGGTGTTTCTTCTTTGAAAAGATTAAATGAGAATCTTGAGGGACCTGATGTGTTTTCTGATGTGAAAGAACCTTGGGGCCTCAGGTGTTTTATTTTTGAAACAATCTCGGGAACGCCTGGTGGTTTTTTGTTTTTGAAAGAATTTGAAAAAACCTTGGGTATGTTTTTTTTTTGAAATTGAAAAAATCTCGTGGATGGCTGGTGAGTTTTTTTAAAGAGTTTGAAAGACTTTTGGGGATCGTTGGTGTTTCATGTTTGAAAGAATTTGAAAATCTTGGGTATTTCTAAGAATTTGAAAAAATCTCATGGACGCCTGGTGTATTTTTTTTTTGAAAGAGTTTAAAAGACTTGGGAATCCTTGGTGTTTCATCTTTGAAAGAATTTGTAAGAATCTTGAGGGTACCTGATGTATTTTTTTATGTGAGGGCCCAGTGTTTTATTCTTGAAAAAATCTCGGGGGCGCCTGGTGTGGTTTTTTTTGTTTTCTGAATGACTAAAAAAATCTTGGGGGGCGTTGGTGTTTCATTTTTGAAAGAATTTGAAAAGATTTGAAACAATCTCGGAGTCGCCTGGTGATTTTTTTGTTTTGTTTTTGAAAAAGTTTGATAGACTTTGGGGACCGTTGGTGTTTCTTCTTTGAAAGGATTAAATAAGAATCTTGAGGGCACCTGATGTGTTTTTTGATATGAAAGAACCTTGGGGCCCCAGGTGTTTTATTTTTGAAACGATCTCGGGAACGCCTGATGGTTTTTTGTTTTTGAAAGAATTTGAAAAAATCTAGGGTATTTTTTTTTTAAGAGTTTAAACGACTTTTGGTGTTTCATTTTTGAAAGAATTTGAAAAAGTCTCATGGACGCCTGGTGTGTTTTTGTTTTTCTAACATTTGAAAATGCCTGGGTTTTTTTTTGTTTTTGAAAAAATTTGAAAAGATCTTGGGTGTTTATGTGTTTTTTAAGATGTTGGAAGAATCTTGTCAAAAACAAACAAATTTTGAAAAGAACTTAAAAATCCTCAGGGGCCGTGTATTTTATTTTTATGATTGACGATTTTAATCTCTATCTAATTTATAAGAAAGTTCGTTTGTTTTTTATTCTGGTACTTATTTTAATACAATTTAGCTTTTATGTACTACAGATTGAATCAATAAAAAAAAATAAATTTGCTCTTTTTGGAAGAATTTTGTTAACAACTTTTTAATTTTGTTTTATTTGCTTGTGCAGGTAAGAAGACGACCCCGACCTCTTCCATAAGCGAATCGAAGCCTAAACGAATCCCGTCAGTACTCAAAGACAAAAAACAGCCATCCAAAGGTGAGTTATGCGCCTTCTCTAACGAACGTAATAATACATAATTAATACCTTGCAACAATGGAATAATATTTTAACAATGGCAGTAACACTCTTAAGCGTCCGCGGGTGAAAACGTGGGAACGTTATTCAACAAATTAATAAACGAAAAACCGTACGAAAAATGCAATTAACGCAGTTCAGTTTCTTTCCCTTTGAATTTATCGTCCAAAAAAATACTAGACAATAGTGCAGTCACTTTTACTTCGCGTTATTGTTATAACCCGCCTTAAATTCCGGTATTTAACCAGAAGCCATTGTTTTTCGCCGGTTTATGTAAGTGGAAGATAAAACGTTTTTTGTGTCGAACGCTTCCCTTACGCAAGAGATTGCACCGATAAGACGATGCAATTCTAAGCAAAGGTCGATCATTTTCTCTTCAAGTAGCGACTCTCCTATTTAGATTAAAAGCACGGTTCCGACCTCGATTTCGTAAATTTAGGATAAATATAGCTCAAATTAGTTCTACGCCACTGCTCCGAATTATTAAATTGGTGATATAGCTAGAGCGACGCCTACACAGACGAAAGTACTCGGAGAAAGGTACTAGTTAATTGTTTTGTTTGATGTGTGGCAATAGCACGAAAATGAATTAAGTGGAAATGCGAAGGCGACGCGCCAAAATTTTTTTAACTCAGAATGTAAACCAAAGCGCATAATTATCATTTTAATTCGTCTATAAAATTGCGTGGGACGGTGCCATAGGCACTTTTTTTTCAGGAGTGTCCTCCGAAATAAACTACTTACACAACGCCCGTTCACATTTCGCGTCTGTTCCGGCACTAGAAAAATTTATGACGTATTTATCAGATGTTAAATTGGTGTGAATTGCGGGCGATTCTCGAGTACCGTCCGTTATGGTTGTCAGAAAATTTAATAAGAATATGGATATGTTAATGAGGGTACTTTTACTTTCTACGTCGACGGAACCGCGGTTCGTCTTTAATTTATGTGTTCATAATTTAGATAACCGAAAGTGGTTGACCTAGGTGATAAATACGCGTTAACAGTAAGTGCGAAGGTGTGTTGAGGCGAATTTGCTACCAGAAGTAACGTTTTCCGGGGAGGTTTCGCTCAAAATTAAATTGAGGATGTGTTTTTTAATGAATATTGATGCGTGTTTAAAGTAGGTTTTATGTGACATGGAATTTAAAAGCAACGATTTCTTATAGCCAAATTATGTCATTTAGATTTAGCGTCCATCGCTGAAACTTTCCTGAAAACAGTTGTTAAATTTTATGTCTATTACGAATATCGTGTAGACGATCAAAATTTGACTAATAATCATCCATACCAACAATTTGTTGACATCATCTCCAAAATTTACAGTAGTAAATATTATTTAAATTTTATAAATTTGAATTTTTATCCTAGGCATCCAGATTTTTGGAGAAAAAATCAAAATTACAACATCTTGCAATTTAACTTTGAAACTGTTCTGAAAATTTGAAAACGTTTCAGGTTACCTTATTAAAACAAAAAGCAAAATGTAACCCCGCCCATCCACCCTATCTCAATTGTAATGTTTTTTTTATTCTTAGAAACTTAAAACACGCTTAAAATGGTAAAAAATTAATCTTTGGCTTTAATTTTTTCTTAATATACGTAATATTCTTTGAACAACACGATACTCAAAAACATGTTTTTAATTTCTGGTGGAGAAGTAACGATTTTGCAGTTAAGCTCCGCCCTCTTGCTTCACGATCAATAAAAAAATCATCACAATTGCGAGAGGGCGGGTGGGCGGGGCAAAATTTTGCCTTTTTTTCTCGACATGTGTAGACTTAGGTATTTCTATAACAAGAAACTTAAAACATGTCTAAAATGGTCCATTTTTGCAAGGAAATATGAATTTTGTAATTATGGGACAAAGCCTAATTGCAAAATCGATATTTCCTAATCCAAATTCTCCATTTTAAACATGTTTTAAGTTTCATGTTGGGAAAAGAAGTCTACACATATTGAGACAACAAGGCAAAATCTAAGCCCGCCCACCCGCCCTATCTCGATTGTGGTGATTTTTTTATTCGCCGTGAACCAAGGGGGCGGAGCTTAACTGCAAAATACTTATTTCTTTACAAGAAATTACAAAGATGTATCATGTTCAACGAATACTATGTACTTATATTAAGAATTTTTTTTTACACCGATGTATATATATATATATTTCGATTTTATGATTTCTTTGGTTTTCGATATCTCTAATTTCTCATTTATACCATTGTTTGATTTTTCAGTTTTCCAATTTCTTGATTTTGTTTTCGACTTTTGAATTTTTCGATTTTTCATTTTTTTAATTCTTTGATTTTTCAATTTCTAGATTTTTAATTTGTTGATTTTCCAATGATTAGATTTATCAGTTTCGCGATTCCTAATTTTTCAATTTTTCCATTTCTCAATGTTACAGTTTTTGTGTTTTCACTTTTTCAAATTTTCGATGTTTCAGTGTTACGATTTTTAGGTTTTTGAATTGACAATTTTTCGATTCTACAATTTTTCCTATTTTCAATTTTTCAGTTTATCTAATTTGAATTTTCCGATTTTTCAAGTTGTGAATTTTTCGATTTTTCAATTTTCTATTTCCTGAATTCTTCGATTTTTCTAGATTTATTTGTCCATTTTTCAATGTTTAGATTTATTAGTTTCCCGATTCCTAATTTTTCCATTTTTCTGTTTTTTAATGTTACAATTTTTCATCTTTTCACTGTTTCAATTTTTCGAAATTTCATTGTTACCACTTTTAGGTTTTGGATTGACAATTTTTTGATTTTAACATTTTTCGTATTTCCACTTTTTCAGTTTACCAAATTTTCAGATTTTTCATATTTTCCATTTTTTCAGTTCTTCGATTTTTCTATTTGAAGACTTTTAATTTGTGGATTTTAATATTTAAATTTATCAGTTTCTCGATTCCTAATTTTTCAATTTTTCCTTTTGTAAATGTTACAATTTTTCGTTTTTTCACTTTTTCACTTTTCCAAAGTTTCTTCAAGGTACGATTTTTGGATTCACAATTTTTCGATTTTCCGATTTTTCGTATTTTCAATTTTTGATTATTCAATTTTTCAGTTTATTGAATTTTAATTTTTCGATTTATCAATTTTTCAGTGTTTAGATTTGTCAGTTTCCCTCCCGATTCCTAATTTTTCAATTTTTCCATTTCTCAATACTGCAATTTTTGGTTTTTCACTTTTTCAAATTTTCGATGTTTCATTGTTACGATTTCTAGGTTTTTGGTTTGACATTTTTTTTATTTCAACATTTTTTGTATTTCCTCTTTTTCAGTTTACCGATTTTGAATTTTCGGATTTTTCAAAATTCGAATTTTTCGATTTTTGGATTTTCCATTTCTTCAATTTTTAAAATTTTCGAATTTTCAATTTCTAGATTTTTGATTTGTCGATTTTTCAATGTTTAGATTTATCAGTTTCCCGATTCCTAATTTTTCAATTTTTCCATTTCTCAATATTACAATTTTTCGTTTTTTCACCTTTTCGATTTTTGGATTTTTCTTTATTTAAGTTTTAGATTTTGTTTTTTTTGGCAACTTTCAACTGCTCAATTTATCTGTTTTTTGATTTTTCACTTTTTAGATTTATCGGTTCCTCAATTTTTAATTTTTCGACTTTTCAAAATTTTTCTCTTTTTCGTTCCAATTTTGTGATTTTGAGTTTTTCGATTGTTAATTTTAAGTTTCTCGATTTTTCAATTTCTCGGTTTTTAATTTGATGATTTTCCAATGATTAGATTTATCAGTTTCCCGATTCCTAATTTTTCAATTTTTCCATTTCTCAATACTGCAATTTTTGGTTTTTCACTTTTTCAAATTTTCGATGTTTCATTGTTACGATTTCTAGGTTTTTGGTTTGACATTTTTTTTATTTCAACATTTTTTGTATTTCCTCTTTTTCAGTTTACCGATTTTGAATTTTCGGATTTTTCAAAATTCGAATTTTTCGATTTTTGGATTTTCCATTTCTTCAATTTTTAAAATTTTCGAATTTTCAATTTCTAGATTTTTGATTTGTCGATTTTTTAATGCTTAGATTAATCAAGTACCCGATTTCTAATCTTTCTTTTTTTCCATTCCTTAATATTACGATTTTTCGTTTTTTCACCTTTTCGATTTTTCAATTTTTCTTTATTTAATTTTTAGATTTTGTTTTTTTTTTTGTCAACTTTCAACTACCCAATTTATCTATTTTTTGATTTTTCACTTTTTAGATTTATCGGTTTATCATTTTTTAATTTTTCGACTTTACAAAATTTTTCTATTTTTCGTTCCAATTTTGTGATTTTGAAGTTTTTCGATTGTTAATTTTAAGTTTCCCGATTTTTCAATTTCTCGGTTTTAAATTTGTTGATTTTCCAGTGATTAGATTTATCAGTTTCGGGGTTCCTAATTTTTCAATTTTTCCATTTCTCAATGTTACAGTTTTTGTGTTTTCACTTTTTCAAATTTTCGATGTTTCAATGTCACGATTTTTAGGTTTTTGAGTTGACAATTTTTGGATTCTACAATTTTTCATATTTTCAATTTTTCAGTTTATCTAATTCGAATTTTCCGATTTTTCAAGTTGTGAATTTTTCGATTTTTCAATTTTCTATTTCCTGAATTCTTCGATTTTTCTAGATTTCTTATCCATTTTTCAATGGTTTAGATTTATTAGTTTTCCGATTCCTAATTTTTCCATTTTTCTCTGTTTTTTAATGTTACAATTTTTCGCTTTTTCACTTTTTCAATTTTTCGAAATTTCATTGTTACCATTTTTAGGTTTTGGATTGACAATGTTTCGATTTTACAATTTTTGATTAATAAATTTTTCAGTTTATTGATTTCGAATTTTTTAATTTTTCATTTCTTCAATTTTTAAAATCTTCGAATTTTTCAATTTCTAGATTTTGAATTTGTCGATTTTTCAATGTTTAGATTTATCAGTTTCCCGATTCCTAATTTTTCAATT